AGTGATGGAGGTGGCCATGAAAGCAGCCACCTCGCAGGAGGCGGCACGCTCCACTAGCCAACTGCTGGAAAGGAAAAGATCAGTGGTTGCTGTGGGTATTAAGGAACAGGAAGGAACCAATAGGACAGAGTGGAATGACAAGGACAAAGCAGCAGTGAATGAAGTACTAAAGGCACTAGACATGGAAGGGGCCGAGCATAGCATTGAGAAGGTTTTCAGGCTAGGCCGGTACAACAAAGACCGAGACCGAATGATAAAGATAGTGTTTGCAAACGAGAACACAAAGGAGAAGATCCTATCAAGGAAGAGCTCCCTGAAAAACGTGGGAAAATTAAAAAATGTATTCCTCCAGAGAGACATGACAAGGGAGGAGAGAGCCGTGGCGGCAGAAGCAAGGAAGAGGCGCAGGGCGAGAGGGGAAAACCAGGAAGTCACAGCTCCCAACACAACACCCCCAGAGGCGAGGGGGGAACCCACAACCAGCTACCCAGTAACACCAGAAGGGAGGACAACCCCGCCTCCCTCCTCTGCATAGAAAACCCCCCTACCCCAAACCCTCCCTGCCCCCACTCAAAAGTTCAGCCAAATCTCCCTCCCCCCAAACCCAATCCCCACCCTTCTACCCCTCCCCTCCTCCCGAGTCCTCCCTCCCCCCCTTTCCTTCCCGTCCTCCCTCCCCTTTCACCCCATACCCTCCCTGTCCCTCCCCCTTCACTGGATCCCCCGCCCCTCATTCCAGTATCCTCTGAGATCCTGTTACCCACCTCACAGGTCCTCACACCCATGGAACAGCCTCCCCCACCAGCAGAACACTCACCAAGGAGGCGATTTGAGAAGGGACAGAAGAAAGTGAGCCTCAAAGCGATGTACACTAACATAGATGGAATTACAAATAAAGCAAATGAGCTTGGAGAACTGGTACTAGAGGAAAACCCAGACATAATAGCCCTCACAGAAACAAAGATCACGAAAACAATAACAAATGCAGTGTTCCCACAGGACTATTATGTTATGCGGAAAGAGAGGGAAGGAAGAGGTGGGGGTGGTGTAGCTCTGCTGGTAAGAAAAGGCTGGGATTTTGAGGAGATGGATATTCAGGGCTGTGAAGGTTTCAGTGACTACATAGCAGGTACTGTAACAAATGGAGGGAAAAAAATTATAGTCGCAGTCATATATAATCCACCACCAAATGACAGAAGACCTAGACAGGAATATGATAGAAACAACATGGCCACCATTAACATAATAGAAAGAGCAGCTTCTGTTGCTAGCAGGAATGGATCTGGACTACTAATTATGGGAGACTTCAACCATGGGAAGATAGATTGGAAGAACAGAGACCCGCATGGAGGACCAGAAACATGGAGAGCTAAGCTGCTGGACGTGGCAACAAGAAACTTTCTAAGCCAGCATACCAAAGAGCCAACAAGAATGAGAGGAGAAGATGAACCAGCAATGCTTGATTTGATATTTACCCTAAATGAATGGGATATAAGGGAAGTTAAGATGGAAGCGCCCTTGGGAATGAGTGACCACAGTGTATTGAACTTTGAGTACCTGGTAGAGCTAGGACTTATCTCCCCCCAAAAAGAACTAGGAATCAAAAGGCTGGCATACCGAAAGGGGAATTATGAACAGATGAGAAGTTTCCTAAGTGAAATACCTTGGGACACAGACCTCAGAGACAAGTCTGTACAGGGTATGATGGACTATGTTACCCAAAAGTGTCAGGAGGCAGTAAACAGGTTCATCCCGGCCCAAAGGGAAAAATCCGAGAAGCAACAGAAGAATCCATGGTATAATAGGGCATGTATGGAAGCGAAGAAACTGAACAAAAAGGCGTGGAGGAACTTCCGGAATAACAGAACACCAGAAAGCAGGGAGAGATACCAGAGAACCAGGAATGAGTACGTCAGGGTGAGAAGAGAAGCAGAGAAAAATTTTGAAAATGATATAGCAAACAAAGCCAAGACCGAACCAAAGCTACTCCACAGTCACATCAGAAGGAAAACAACAGTGAAAGAACAGGTATTGAAACTTAGAACAGGCGAGGACAGGTATACAGAGAATGACAGAGAGGTGTGTGAGGAACTCAACAAGAGGTTCCAGGAGGTCTTCACAATAGAACAGGGTGAGGTCACTGTGCTAGGAGAAAGGGAGGTAAACCAGGCGGCCTTGGAGGAGTTCGAAATTACGAGAGAGGAGGTCAAGAGACACCTGCTGGATCTGGATGTTAGAAAGGCGGTTGGTCCAGATGGGATCTCACCATGGGTACTGAAAGAGTGTGCAGAGGCACTTTGCTTGCCACTCTCCATAGTGTATAGTAAATCACTAGAGACGGGAGACCTACCAGAAATATGGAAGACGGCGAATGTGGTCCCAATATACAAAAAGGGCGACAGACAAGAGGCACTGAACTACAGGCCAGTGTCCTTGACTTGTATACCATGCAAGGTGATGGAGAAGATCGTGAGAAAAAACCTGGTAACACATCTGGAGAGAAGGGACTTCGTGACAAATCGCCAACATGGATTCAGGGAGGGTAAATCTTGCCTTACAGGCTTGATAGAATTCTACGATCAGGTGACACAGATTAAGCAAGAAAGAGAGGGCTGGGCGGACTGCATTTTCTTGGATTGTCGGAAAGCCTTTGACACAGTACCGCATAAGAGGCTGGTACATAAGCTGGAGAGACAGGCAGGTGTAGCTGGTAAGGTGCTCCAGTGGATAAGGGAGTATCTAAGCAATAGGAAGCAGAGAGTTACGGTGAGGGGTGAGACCTCCGATTGGCGTGAAGTCACCAGTGGAGTCCCACAGGGCTCTGTACTCGGTCCTATCTTGTTTCTGATATATGTAAATGATCTCCCGGAGGGTATCGATTCATTTCTCTCAATGTTTGCGGACGATGCTAAAATTATGAGAAGGATTAAAACAGAAGAGGACTGTTTGAGGCTTCAAGAAGACCTAGACAAGCTGAAGGAATGGTCGAACAAATGGTTGTTAGAGTTTAACCCAACCAAATGTAATGTAATGAAGATAGGTGTAGGGAGCAGGAGGCCAGATACAAGGTATCATCTGGGAGAGGAAATTCTTCAGGAGTCAGAGAAGGAAAAAGACTTGGGGGTTGATATCACGCCAGACCTGTCTCCTGCAGCACATATCAAGCGGATAACATCAGCGGCATATGCCAGGCTGGCCAACATACGAACGGCATTCAGAAACTTGTGTAAAGAATCATTCAGAACTTTGTATACCACATATGTCAGGCCAATCCTGGAGTATGCAGCCCCAGCATGGAGTCCATATCTAGTCAAGGATAAGACTAAACTGGAAAAGGTTCAAAGGTTTGCCACCAGACTAGTACCCGAGCTGAGAGGTATGAGCTACGAGGAGAGACTACGGGAATTAAACCTCACTTCGCTGGAAGACAGAAGAGTTAGGGGGGACATGATCACCACATTCAAGATTCTGAAGGGGATTGATAGGGTAGATAAAGACAGTCTATTTAACACAAGGGGAACACGCACAAGGGGACACAGGTGGAAACTGAGTGCCCAAATGAGCCACAGAGATATTAGAAAGAACTTTTTTAGTGTCAGAGTGGTTGACAAATGGAATGCATTAGGGGGTGATGTGGTGGAGGCTCACTCCATACACAGTTTCAAGTGTAGATATGACAGAGCCCGATAGGCTCAGGAATCTGTACACCTGTTGATTGACGGTTGAGAGGCGGGACCAAAGAGCCAGAGCTCAACCCCCGCAAACACAACTAGGTGAGTACAACTAGGTGAGTACACACACCCACCCACACACACACACACACACACACACACACAGTGCTAGTCAAGGATAAGACTAAACTGGAAAAGGTTCAAAGGTTTGCCACCAGACTAGTACCCAAGCTGAGAGGTATGAGCTACGAGGAGAGACTACGGGAATTAAACCTCACTTCGCTGGAAGACAGAAGAGTTAGGGGGGACACGATCACCACATTCAAGATTCTGAAGGGAATTGATAGGGTATATAAAGACAGTCTATTTAACACAAGGGGAACACGCACAAGGGGACACAGGTGGAAACTGAGTGCCCAAATGAGCCACAGAGATATTAGAAAGAACTTTTTTAGTGTCAGAGTGGTTGACAAATGGAATGCATTAGGAAGTGATGTGGTGGAGGCTGACTCCATACACAGTTTTAAGTGTAGATATGGTAGAGCCCGATAGGCTTAGGAATCTGTACACCTGTTGATTGACGGTTGAGAGGTGGGACCAAAGAGCCAGAGCTCAACCCCCGCAAACATAACTAGGTGAGTACAACTAGGTGAGTACACACACACACACACACACACACACACACACACACACACACACACGAGGCCTAGGGGCCTGGTAGCCTGGTGGATAGCGCGCAGGACTCGTAATTCTGTGGCGCGGGTTCGATTCCCGCACGAGGCAGAAACAAATGGGCAAAGTTTCTTTCACCCTAAGTGCCCCTGTTACCTAGCAGTAAATAGGTACCTGGGAGTTAGTCAGCTGTCACGGGCTGCTTCCTGGGGTGTGTGGTGTGGGGAAAAAAAAAAAGTAGTTAGTAAACAGTTGATTGACAGTTGAGAGGCGGTCCGAAAGAGCAAAGCTCAACCCCCGCAAAAACACAACTACTAAACACAACTAGTAAACACACACACTCACACACACACACACTCACTCTCGGCGCATACATTGAAAGCGAAGCTCCTAGTCATGAGGGACCTAAATCACGGAGAGATAAATTGGGAAACAAGGAATCCCCATGGCGGGGAGGAGACCTGGGGAGCGAAGCTGGTAGACGTTGACAGGAATTTCCTAAGACAGCACGTGAAGGCAGACACTAGGGAAAGAGGAGGGGATACGCCCTGCCTATTAGACCTCATTTTCACCCAGAATGTAGAAGACATCGAGCATTTGGAACATGAAATACCACTAGGAGCCAGTGACCATTGTGTTCTAGTCTTTGACTACATGATGGAGCTTAAAACTGTGACCAAAGGCCAAGAGGTCCGAGAAAGGAGACTTGATTACAGAAAAGGGGACTACAGGAGGATAAAATACTACCTGGGAAAAGTGCAGTGGGAAGAAGAAATTAATGGACAAACAGAGTAAGGAATGATGAACCAAGTCATATGGAAATGCAAGGAGGCTGAAGAGATAATTATTCCTACAGTAAAGGAAAAAAGCAGGAGGGAATATAATAACCGATGGTTTAACAGTGTCAGGAAGCAAAAGTGAGAAGCAGGAGGGAGTGGAGGAAGTACAGAAGACAAAGGACAGAGGACAACAAGATTAGATGTTGGAGACATGAGCACAGTTGAGACAATAGCACAGTGGAGACAATAGCACAGTGGAGACAATAGCACAGTGGAGACAATAGCACAGTGGAGACAATAGCACAGTGGAGACAATAGCACAGTGGGGACGAGACCACAGTCGGACAAGAGCTCAGTGGAGACAATAGCACAGTGGAAACAAGAGCACAGTGGAGACAAGAGCACAGTGGGGGACAAGAGCACAGTGGAGACAAGAGCACAGTGGGGACAAGAGCACAGTAGAGACAAGAGCACAGTGGAGACAAGAGCACAGTGGGGACAAGAGCACAGTGGAGACAATAGAACAGTGAGGACAAGAGCACAGTGAGAACAAGAGCACAGTGGGGGCAAGAGCACAGTGGAGTCAAGAGCACAGTGAGAACAAGAGCACAGTGGGGACAAGAGCACAGTGGGGACAAGGGCACAGTGGAGACAAGAGCACAGTGGGGACAAGAGCACAGTGGAGACAAGAGCACAGTGGGGACAAGAGCACAGTGGGGACAAGAGCACAGTGAGAACAAGAGCATAGTGGCGACAAGAGCATAGTGGAAACAAGAGAACAATGGGGACAAGAGCACAGTGAGGACAAGAGTACAGTGGAGACAAGAGCCCGGTTGGACAAGAGCACAGTGGAGACAATAGCACAGTGGAGACAAGAGCACAGTGGGAACAAGAGCACATTTAGAACAAGAGCACAGTGGGGACAAGAGCACTGTGAGAACAAGAGCACAGTGGGGACAAGAGCACATAGGGAACAAGAGCACAGTGGGGACAAGAGCACTGTGAGAACAAGAGCACAGTAGAAACAAGAGAACATTGGGGACAAAAGCCCGGTGGGAACAATAACACAGAGAGGACAAAAGCACAGTGGAGGCAAGAGCACAGTGGGGACAAGAGCACATAGGGAACAAGAACACAGTGGAGACAAGAGCACAGTGGAGACAAAAGCACAGTTGGGACAAGAACACAGTGGGGACAAGAGCACAGTGGAGACAAGAGCAGTGGAGACAATGACACAGTGTAGACACCAGCACAGTGGGGACAATAGCACAGTGAACACAATAGCACAGTAGGGACAAGTGCACAGTGAGGACAAGAGTACAGTGGAGACAAGAGCACAGTGGGTACAACTGCACAGTGGTGACGAGCACAGTGGTGACGAGCACAGTGGGGACAATAGAAAAGTGGGGAGAGAAGAGCAGAGTGGAGACAATAGCACAGTTGAGACAAGAGCACAGTGGGGACAGGAGCACAGTGGGGACAAGAGCACAGTGGAGACAATAGCTCAGTGGAGACAAAAGCACAGTGGAGACAATAGCACAGTGGGGACAAGAGCACAGTGGAAACAAGAGAACAGTTTAGACAAGAGAACAGTGGAGACAAGAGAACAGTGGAGACAAGAGAACAGTGGAGACAAGAGCACAGTGAAGACAAGAGAACAGTGGAGACAAGAGCACAGTGGAGACAAGAGAACAGTGGAGACAAGAGAACAGTGGAGACAAGAGCACAGTGGAGACAAGAGAACAGTGGAGACAAGAGCACAGTGGAGACAAGAGAACAGTGGAGACAATAGCACAGTGGAGACAACAGCACAGTGGAGACAATAGCATAGTGGGGACACGAGCACAGTGGAGACAAGAGCACAGTGGAGACAAGAGAACAGTGGAGACAAGAGAACAGTGGAGACAAGAGCACAGTGGAGACAAGAGAACAGTGGAGACAAGAGAACAGTGGAGACAATAGCACAGTGGAGACAACAGCACAGTGGGGACAACAGCACAGTGGAGACAAGAGCACAGTGGGGACAACAGCACAGTGGGGACAAGAGCACAGTGGAGACAAGAGCACAGTGGGGACAATAGCACAGTGGGGACAAAAGCACAGTGGGGACAACAGCACAGTGGAGACAATAGCACAGTGGGGACAATAGCACAGTGGGGACAACAGCACAGTGGAGACAATAGCACAGTGGAGACAAGAGCACAGTGGAGACAAGAGCACAGTGGGGACAAGAGCACAGTGGGGACAAGAGCACAGTGGAGACAAGAGCACAGTGGGGACAATACCACAGTGGAGACAAGAGAACAGTGGAGACAATACCACAGTGGAGACAATACCACAGTGGAGACAAGAGAACAGTGGAGACAAGAGAACAGTGGAGACAAGAGCAGTATGGGAACAAGAGCACAGTGGAGACAAGAGCACAGTGGAGACAAGAGCACAGTGGAAACAAGAGCACAGTGGAGACAAGAGAACAGTGGAGACAAGAGCACAGTGGAAACAAGAGCACAGTGGAAACAAGAGAACAGTTTAGACAAGAGAACAGTGGAGACAAGAGAACAGTGGAGACAAGAGAACAGTGGAGACAAGAGCACAGTGAAGACAAGAGAACAGTGGAGACAAGAGCACAGTGGAGACAAGAGAACAGTGGAGACAAGAGAACAGTGGAGACAAGAGCACAGTGGAGACAAGAGAACAGTGGAGACAAGAGCACAGTGGAGACAAGAGAACAGTGGAGACAAGAGAACAGTGGAGACAAGAGCACAGTGGGGACAAGAGCACAGTGGGGACAAGAGCACAGTGGAGACAAGAGCACAGTGGGGACAATACCACAGTGGAGACAAGAGAACAGTGGAGACAATACCACAGTGGAGACAATACCACAGTGGAGACAAGAGAACAGTGGAGACAAGAGCACAGTGGAGACAAGAGAACAGTGGAGACAAGAGCACAGTGGAGACAAGAGCACAGTGAAGACAAGAGAACAGTGGAGACAAGAGAACAGTGGAGACAAGAGAACAGTGGAGACAAGAGAACAGTGGAGACAAGAGCACAGTGGAAACAAGAGCACAGTGGAAACAAGAGAACAGTTTAGACAAGAGCACTGTGGAGACAAGAGCACTGTGGAGACAAGAGCACAGTGGAGACAAGAGCACAGTGGGGACAAGAGCACAGTGGAGACAATAGCACAGTGGAGACAACAGCACAGTGGAGGCAAGAGCACAGTGGAGACAATACCAGGAGTGTGACACATTGGGGCCTTGAACATAGAAGTGTTGCACAGGGGAGACGAGAACACAGAAGAGTGACACAGGAAAGACGAGAACACAGAAGAGTGACACAGGGGAGACCAAAACACAGAAGAGTGACACAGGGGAGACCAGAACACAGAAGAATGACACAGGAGAGACCAGAACACAGAAGAGTGACACAGGGGAGACCAGAACACAGAAGAATGACACAGGGGAGACCAGAACACAGAAGAGTGACACAGGGGAGACCAGAACACAGAAGAGTGACACAGGGGAGACCAAAACACAGAAGGAGAGCAAAGTGGAGACCAGAGTTCAGTAAAGAACTGAACGGCAGAAGGGAAGGGGAGGGCATAGTGTACTGAATACCGGAGCACAGAAAGATTATGACATAGTGTAATATTGAGCGGATGTAACGTTATCCATGATCATCAATGTTTATTTTTGTCAAAAATCGTGTGAAAAAACAGCAGGGGCAACTTTTTGTCAATTAACTGCGTTCCTTTGCAAAGCAAAGCATGCAATCATGTTGCAATAGCATTTTTGGCGACCTTTTGGGCTTAAAGCTGTTTTATTTTTATTCCAGACTATTTCTAATCATGGACATGTAAAACACACAAGTAAAAAAAAACATTGAACGGCATATTTGCTGAACAAAAATAAAAAGGATAATTTTTCCCCTGATCATCTCTAGGATTGTTATTTAAAACTTTAAATCAATATTTAGTATTTTTTGTCCCGTTTTTGTACCCAGTTCTAATTATTGCGTTATTCCGTCAAGGTTTTGAATTTATGTCTTATAAATTAGTGCAAAATATTGGTAAAATAGACTTTAGTGTCTACATTTACTCTGTAAGCCATGTTTGTTTCCTCCTAACAATCGAGGATTTTGTTCTCTCTGAAGACTTGACTGTATAAACTTTTCCTCCGACTTTTAAAGCATCGATTAATTGATTGTAAAACCGAAATTGAGAAATAAATATAACTAATTGAATTTGGTACTATCAGTATGAATGAATCTTGCGTGTGTATTTCTAACGGGATGAATGAATATTGAGTGTGTGTATTACTGACAGTATGAATGAAGATTGAGTGTGTATTTGTAAATGTATGATGAATCTTGAGTGTACATTACTAACAGTATGAGTAAAGCTTTGGGTGTGTATTACTAACAGTATGAGTGAATCAAGTTCAAGTTCAAGTATGTTTATTGAGACAAGAAAAAAGTACATCTCAAAGGGATAGATTAGCTCAGGCTATTTATACCCCCCCTTGAGTGAAGCTTGTTGTGTATTACTACCAGTATGAGTGAGGCGTAAAGGTGTATTATTAACAGTATACATGAAACAGGATTGTATTTTATTATTTTACTGAGTTTATTCTGCTCATAATTAGTTTTCAACTGAAAAACAGATTATTTAATGATATATATTTTATGTTAACATGAATAAATATTTTAAGCTGAGATCAATGCTGATGATATAATTAACGGACAATATCCATAAGTTTTCACAGAGATGTGTTCTTACATATAATACTACACACTGAGGTATGATACAAACGAAAGTTTACATCAACTCAAAGAAACTTTAAAACTAGCTCATGATGGAGACAACATTAGCAAGTTACATTTGTCAAAAATACATACTCCGTCTAAATTGTGATAGGCAGTAACGTCTGTGTCCCTACCTAGGGGGTTATTATTGACATAGCTCATGCCCTGTACCCTGTACCCAAGTGTCAGGCACCTCATGCCCACTACCCTGTACCCAAGTGTCAGGCACCTAATGCCCACTACCCTGAACCCAAGTGTCAGGCACCTAATGCCCACTACCCTGTACCCAAGTGTCAGGCACCTCATGTCGTGTACCCTGTACCCAAGTGTCAGGCACCTCATGCCCACTACCCTGAACCCAAGTGTCAGGCACCTCATGCCCACTACCCTGTACCCAAGTGTCAGGCATTTCGTGCCCACTACCCTGTACCCAAGTGTCAGGCATCTCATGCCCACTACCCTGAACCCAAGTGTCAGGCACCTCATGTCGTGTACCCTGTACCCAAGTGTCAGGCACCTAATGCCCACTACCCTGCACCCAAATGTCAGGCACCTCACGTCCAGTACCCTGTACGCAAGTGTCAGGCACCTCATGCCCTCTACCCTGTACGCAAGTGCCAGGCACCTCATGCCCTGTTCACAAGTGCCAGGCACCTCATGCCCTGTTCACAAGTGCCAGGCACCTCATGCCCTGTTCACAAGTGCCAGGCACCTCATGACCTATTCAAAGTCCCAGGCACCTCATGCCCTGTAACCTGTATCAATGTGCCAGGCACAACATTCCTGTTCCGAAGTGCCAGGCACCTCATGCCCTGTAACCTGTACCAATGTGCCAGGCACAACATTCCTGTTCCGAAGTGCCAGGCACCTCATGCCCTGTAACCTGTACCAATGTGCCAGGCACAACATTCCTGTTCCGAAGTGCCAGGCACCTCATGCCCTGTAACCTGTACCAATGTGCCAGGCACAACATTCCTGTTCCGAAGTGCCAGGCACCTCATGCCCTGTAACCTGTACCAATGTGCCAGGCACAACATTCCTGTTCCGAAGTGCCAGGCACCTCATGCCCTGTAACCTGTACCAATGTGCCAGGCACAACATTCCTGTTCCGAAGTGCCAGGCACCTCATGCCCTGTAACCTGTACCCAAGTGCCAGGTAACTCATGCCCTGTACCTAAGTGCCAGGCACCTCATTCATGTACCCAAGTACCAGGCACCTCATGCCCTATACCCTACACCCATGTGCCAGGCATCCCATGCCCTGTACCCTGTACTCAAGTGCCAGGCGCCTCATTCCTATACCCAAGTACTTGGCACCTTATGCCCTGTCCCCAAGTGCCAGGCACCTCATTCCTGTACCCAAGTGAAAGGCACCTCATGCCCTGTATCCTGTACCCAAGTGCCAGGAGCCTCATGCCCTGTACCCTGTACCCAATTGTCAGGCACCTTCTGCCTTGTACCCTATACCCATGTGCCAAGAACCTCATGCCCTGTACCCAAGTGCCAAGCACCCAAATTAATAAATGAGTCGCAACATGGTTTTACAAATGGCCGTTCATGTTTAACAAATGTGCTAACTTTTTATTCCAGCATAAATTAGGCAGTTGATATTGGTAAGAATTGTGTTGTTGTGTACCTTGAATTTAGCAAAGCTTTTGATACAGTGCCACATGAAAGGCTAATTAAAAAAATAGAAGCTCATGGTATTGGGGGTGCTATATTAATTTGGATTAGGGCATGGCTATTCCAAAGGAAACAGAGAGTGAGTATAAATGGGGTTAAGTCAGAGTGGGATAATGTTGTTAGTGGAGTACCTCAGGACTCTGTCCTGGGACCTCTGTTGTTTATAATATATATAAGTGATTTAGATTCAGGGTTGAGTAGCAACATTTGCAAATTTGCCGATGATACGAAAATCGGCAGGGAAATTAATTCGGAGGAGGACTCACTACCACTTCAAGTTGATCTAGATAGGGTTTTGAAATGGTCAAAGGATTATCAAATGCAGTTGAATGCTGATAAATGTAAAGTTCTGAGGCTAGGTAATGATGATAGAGTTACAAGATATGAGCTAGATGGTGTTGAGATTGCGAAGTCGGATTGCGAAAGGGATCTGGGAGTTATGATTAGTAAGAATTTAAAACAAAAGGATCAATGCATGAATGTTCGTAATAAGGCGAATATGACACTGGGATTTATTAATCGAAGCGTTAGAAACAAGACACCTGGTGTGGTTCTTAAGCTATATCTTGCTCTGGTTAGGCCCCATTTAGATTATGCAGTTCAGTTTTGGTCGCCGTATTATAGAATGGATATAAATTCACTTGAACGTGTCCAACGTAGGATGACTAAGTTAATTCCCCAAATTAGAAATCTTTCATATGAAGAAAGATTAACAAAGCTTAAGTTGCATTCACTGGAAAGGCGAAGAGTTAGGGGTAACATGATAGAGGTTTACAAGTGGATGAATGGACATAACAGGGGGGGATATTAATAGGGTATTAAAAATATCAACAAAAGACAGAACACGAAACATTGGGTATAAATTGGATAAGTTTAGATTTAGGACAGACTTGGGTAAATACTGGTTCAGTAACAGGGTTGTTGATTTGTGGAACCAATTGCCGCGTAACGTGTGGAGGTGGGGTCCCTCGATTGTTTCAAGCGCGGGTTGGACAAGTATATGAGTGGGATTGGGTGGTTATAGATAGGAGCTGCCTCGTATGGACCAATAGGCCTTCTGCAGTTACCTTTGTTCTTATGTTCTTATCTTTAAAGAGAAGGGCCTCAAAATAATAATTCACTTAGGGTATATTACACTAACAGTATTAGTCTAAGAAATAAAATAAACGAATTAAATGCTCTTGTCTGCACAGAAAAAATAGATATTATTGCACTTACCGAAACGTGGATGAATGTAGAAAATAGAGAACTATTAGCTGAATATCGAATAAGAACATAAGAACATAAGAACAAAGGTAACTGCAGAAGGCCTATTGGCCCATACGAGGCAGCTCCTATTCTATAACCACCCAATCCCACTCATATACTTGTCCAACCCGTGCTTGAAACAATCGAGGGACCCCACCTCCACAATGTTACGCGGCAATTGGTTCCACAAATCAACAACCCTGTTACTGAACCAGTATTTACCCAAGTCTTTCCTAAATCTAAACTTATCCAATTTATATCCATTGTTTCGTGTTCTGTCCTGTGTTGATACTTTTAATACCCTATTAATATCCCCCCGGTTATGTCCATTCATCCACTTGTAAACCTCTATCATGTCACCCCTAACTCTTCGCCTTTCCAGTGAATGCAACTTAAGCTTTGTTAATCTTTCTTCATATGAAAGATTTCTAATTTGGGGAATTAACTTAGTCATCCTACGCTGGACACGTTCAAGTGAATTTATATCCATTCTATAATATGGCGACCAAAA